AATAACAGCATTCCTCTCAAGCTTGCTCCCTCAGAAGACCCCCAACCCCCCCCGAAGCACCATAGCTTATCTGTGTCACATCTATTTCTCACTAACACGGAACATCCTGGTGTAGCAATCAGCACCCTGTGATAAACAAGCACCCCCCCTCGTCAAACCGGTCTGCCACCTTCCCGGGAAGCGCATTTGACCTCACGATTGCTCTCTCTGTTGCAGGTCTTGTCGCGCTGCAGTTAATGCGATCTCTCCGCCCAGGCGACGCATCCGAACATGCGCACGTACTACTTCTGCACGGACGCAGCCAAAGACACAGAGTCCTGGATGAAGGTGATGACGGACGCGGCGCTGGTGCAGACCGAGCCTGTCAGAAGGTAAGACAGACCCCCCCCCCGGGGACTCACTCGGCCCCCACACTTCACCTCATCCTTCTGGTCCTCCAGCCATGGCTCGCTCAGAAATGGTCTGGTGAGCACAGGCTTGTGGGAGAAGGTCTGAAGGTGGGGAATCGGAGGCACAGGCACAGGGACAGTGACAGTGACAGGACGGGCAGGCAATGGCCTGGGCCCCCAAGCTGGGAGGGGGCCCCCGAGCTAGGAGGGGGCTCCCGACGGCAGCCAGTAACATAGCATATCGCAACGACACCTCTGCTTATTTGTGTATTGTGTATTTCTCAAAAGTGAAAATGAAGGAGTAGTGTTTATTAAATTCCCTTTGTTGATATTATTACTTTAGACTTTATGTTAAAATAATGGTAATAAATGACATCCAGCGTCGGTCCCTGCATCATTGCCAAATCAGATTGAAAGTAACTGAGGTATTTAGCTGCACACTCTGCATGCCCGTGTCACTCTTCCGGGGCGCGGTCGGCTCACGAGCCTTTCTGCGCTGTGGCAGTATTTAGCTGCACACTCTGCATGCCCGTGTCACTCTTCTCAAACACGCCTGTGTCTCGGTGGTGGGGCGGCGGGGGTCTGAAACGAGGAGAGCCGTTTGGGATTTAACACGACAGAAACACAGGTAAACAAAACAGGCTCCAGGTTTTGGGGTTTTTGATTGACTGTCTTTGGGTCCCTGAGGACTGGGTTAAGAAAGACTGCAGTAGAGTAAACAGTCACAAAGTATCTTGTTTTACCCTCCATTTCCATCAACCTTAGGTTGGAGAAGATGCAGGTGGACCAGAGGACCACGCAGAACAACATGTTGAACCACCGCATCCTGACATCTCCTGAGGCGCAGAACAACGAGCGGAACCGCGAGGCGGCGCGGCGTGAGGAGCCGGGCAGGCGGGACGGCGGGAGGTACAGCCTCCCCAAGGGCGCCGTGGAGACGCCTCTCGTCAAGATCAACAGCGTCAAGCTGCAGGCCGCGCAGCCCACTGCGGTCCAGGAGGTCACTGCAGCCCCCTCCACTCCCAAAACACCCCCGGCCGTCCCTGGCCCCCCGCTGACAAACGGGCCCAGGGAGCGGGCCCTGGAGGGGCCCATGGAGGAGACAGACAGCGGCCTGGCCCCGCCCCCCGCCGGCCCCGGTCCTGCCCCGCCCCCCGCCGGCCCCGGTCCTGCCCCGCCCCCCGGCCCCGAGCAACCCTTACAGAGGAGCGGTTCTAAGCAGCAGCTGGAGCAGTGGGTGCGGACCCAGAGGAGGCAGGACGAGGAGACTCGCAGGTGAGCCTCTCGAACCCCGCCGTCGGTCCCCAACCGCAATAACCCTTACAGGTCGCCACTTCCCGACATGCCCGTCCGCGGTGCACGTTACCGCCATTTCTGTATTCGGAAGGTGTCTACAGGCAGGGACGCGACCACCTCGCTCGCACACCCGCCAGCACTCTTCCTGTCATTCCACGCGTTCGCTTTCCCGCACAGTGGCGTCTCCGGTTCCCTCCGGCGCCGAGACGGCATCGGCTGGCAGCCGGAAGAACGCGGCTGTCTCAGGTACCCGGTCGCATAGTTTGCGGTCAGGAGGGACGCCACACACCTGTGTGAGCGAAAAAGTGATCGAGGCAGGATGAGCGCTGTGGTGGGAACTCGGGTTCGAGGCGCTCTGTCCCATGTGGGGAGTTTGGAGTATGAGGGCCTGGAGATGATGACTGCCTCTCCTCCTCATGGGGGGGGATATGGGTAGGACTAAAGCAGTATGGAAAATGAAGGGTTTAGTGCCCTGTTCATACTGACTGTGAAGGCTGCATTAATCCTTAAAGCGTGCTTGTTCGTTTGAATTCCAATGGCGTCTTGGAGAGGAACCAGCGATGAACCAGCGATTTCGCACACAGTGAGCTGAATACCAGTTACAGATGCTGTCGGGTAGGGAGCAGGTCGTCCCCTCTGGCTGCTGAAGGGAACTGCACCCCTGTGTGTCGTGGTCTGCATGGGCAACGACCAGAATCATAACATTCCCACTGAATGAAACGGGCCGGTGTCGCCAGTGTCTGGGTGGGGGGGTCGTGGCTTTGATTGCAGTAATATTCCTCACCTTAGCGCCCCCTGATGGGACAGTGAGGTTTTGGGTAATGGCCAGATGGGTCTCCACTCTAGGGCTCGTTAATCGTCTGACTCACCCACTGATGGTGTCACCGCAGGCCCACTCTAAAGGGTGGGGGCTCGTTCCGGTATTTGCAGGGGTGTTAGGGGTGAGAGATCGCGAACGTAAAACCAGGTTTCCATGTATGACCCCCCCCCCCGGTGCATGCAAGCGGATGACAAAACAGCCAAATTAGCAGCAGCCTAATTAATTCAGCCACAAGCTTCAGCGGGTCTGCACTAAAAATAACAGATGTTCCGTCACACGGGGGGGACTTTCCGGAATATTCTCCCCGTGAGGACGCGATTGCAGTTTTTTTACTAAACGACGCAGAACAGTGCTTCAGCGCCTCTGAGTGCAGAAATGCTCTGCGCTTTGACAGAAAGCCGATAACGCAGTCGCTTTCCTACTTTCATGGGTAACATCGGGGGTTCCGGGTAACATCGGGGGTTCCGGCTGGACGCCACGTTGAAAGTCACCTCACTGTGATCACAGGTCTGTTCATTATCCGTCGCCCCCCCCCCCCCCGGGGTGTGTTTGGCTGCTCTCTTGCCTCTTGCTGCTTCACACACATCCCCCCTCCCTCCCAGGCCCAGGGGTGTGTACAGGGGCGGGGCCACAGGGGGATTGCCCCCAGCTGAAAGCTGATTGGCTCTTGGAGTGCCCCCTCCCCATTCACTCATAGTTTCAAAACACATTATTGGCTAATGATATAGGAGTTAAGGCACCTCTTATGCCCCCCACCTTAAAAAACCCTGGTACGTTCTGAACGTGGGAGACCTGACCCCCGGCCCCCCCGCCCCCTGTGTTTCAGCATCCTGTCGTACCAGACGCTCCCGCGGAACATGCCCAGCCACCGGACGCCAGTGGTGGCCCGCTACCCCGAGGGCTACCGTACGCTGCCCCGCAACGTGGCGCGGCCGGACAGCGTCTGCAGCGTGTCGCCGTCGCTGTACGAGCGCCCCCCGGTGGCGGAGAAGCGGCGCTCGCTGCGTGACGACACCATGTGGCAGCTGTACGAGTGGCAGCAGCGGCAAGCGTACAGCCGGCAGGGCCCGTACGGCACGCTGCCCTCCCCTCACACCATGGTGAACCTGTCGGAACACGCCGGCATCTCCATCCCACCGTCGCCATCGCACGGCTCGCTGGCGCCCCCTCGGTCCTACTCGCCGCTGCGCTCCTACACTGTGGGCTCCCGCTCCGAGGTCACCTCCCCAGTCTTCCGGGGGGAGATGTCTTTGGACCGCCGTCGCAGGCCACACTACAACAAGGTAACGGCGCCCCCCTGTGGCCAGTCACGGCAGCGTGCATAATAGTGACAAAACCCTCATTTAGTACCGGTTGCTGAGTGTGAATATTTGAGGGCGTCTCCCTACTGTCTGGAAAGCACTGGAATGAATAACCATCCGACATGAATGGACACACTGGACATCGTGGCTGACTTGGTTTTAGTGTGGCTTACAGATCACATTAACGGCAAACAGTAAGCTGTAAGGTTTTCACTATAAACTTAACTGCTGTCGGTCCTTCATCACCTGGCATTCTCATTAACCAATCAGATTGGATTAGATGAGCTCATAAGCGTCTCAGCCACAGTGCAGTGGGTGGGCTTTAGGTGCAATACCCCTTATTTGGGAGGCAATATAGGACAGTATCTCATTATATCAAAGTCATGGACAGAGGAAGGAAGGGCATGTTACTGGATTTTGGTTACTGTCCTAAAAATAAGGGTAACTGAATCTGATGATTAATGCAGTGCGCTCTGAACTGCCGTGTGACCTTTTCACTGTGTAATTCTCACTGCGCACCTTGCTCCGTCCGCAGTGCGGTTACCCTCCTGACCGGAGGTCTGTGCCCGTCGGGATGCCCATGCAGACCATAAGTCCACAGTCCCTGCAAGGCAAGTCGGTGAGTGCCCCCCCCCCCCCTTCACCAAAAATGACAATATTGCTCTGTGAGTTTACATGTCCGAGGGCAGGCTGTTGAAGTAAAGGACGGTGATTTACACGCTTTCCTCATTCTTCAGTAGGATCATTTATTATGTAAGTGTGACCCTTTTGATAGTGATCATTTTATAATGATAGTAGTGAAGTACTTGTATTAGACGTTTAAAGTTAACTGCTATAAGATATCTTCTCAGCTACCTTTCCAGGAAAGCTTGAATTTTACAGCTGAAACTACACATCTAAGCAGCTCCGATATGCGATAGCAACGCTTAAGTGAGGAACCGCATCATCCCAGCCAGACACAAACGTTAAAAACAGGAAAATTATTAATATAAGAGGCTGCTTCCGGTCTGCGAGGTCTGAGCAGCGTTAGGCATAGCGGATTTTCCTGGGTGACTTGAGGATTGTTCCTAACGGCGCCGCGTCGACAGTTTATGGAGTGTTTGTCGGCTGTTTATCGCTCAGTTATTTTGTGCTCATCTTAAGAAAGACGTCGTATTTCTAAGTCTGGACAAACAGACACGATCCGCAGTAAAAATAACATCACATCAATGAACGTTAAGGAACCTTTGAACCCGGAACCGCTGACAGCAGCACGGAACAGTGACACTGCATGCTTACGGTTCCCCGTCTGATCCCCAGGTCACGCCTCCAACAGTTTTTTTTTTTTTTTTTGAGGGGGGTGGGGGGTGGCACTGGTTTTGGTTTTGATTTGCAGTGGTATGTTTCTGCCTTTGTCTCTGACATCTGATGCCTTGTCTTGCGATACGTGCAGTGACCCATAATATTCATCCATCTTCCATACCACTAATCCAGAGCAGGATCACTATTGCAGGAAGCAGAGGATTGGAACCCCTTGGATTGCGACACCAGTAGGGCATCCCATAATATGACTGCTGCACATGAGAAATCCACAATATCAAAATGTGTAATAAAAGAAGCACAGCCATTTAGCACCTGTGTATTATGTATGATGTATACGAAATAGGATTTAATACGAGCTGCAAATTAATGTTCTTTAACATCCTAATTAATGGTTGAGAGCTTGAGTGATGGATAATTATATTGGATAATTAAGGTTTTTAATCCCTATAAGCTCTGAGCTCATTAGACTGTAGTGGTTGCTGGTGTTAGGCAATCTGCGGTGAGTGTGATGGTCATGTGATCCGACGCGGTGGCCCGTATCAGTGCCGCAGCAGGGAGACGGTGGACCGACCAGTTTAGCGCGGTGACGTTTTTCGCTGAAATGGAGGAAAAGCGCGTCGATGGGCTGAAAGCTGGGGCCAGATTGCCTGCATTCCACAGCCGGCGAGATGTGAAACTTCCCGTGCCGGTTAGCAGGAACCCGCGGGTGGCCAGGGCCCGTCTCCAGTAGCCGAGCGGAACCTGAACCCCGTCCCGGCCCATCCAGTTGGCGTACAGAACACGTCTCAGATCGGATCGGAGTAGAACCGCCAGCTTTTCCCGAACCTGCCCAAAGTGCGCACTCTCTGTCTCTCCGTACGGTGGGGGTGGCGGACCCTCCCTAACTGGCTGTCCTGTCTGGGACCCCCCTCCCTGTACCACAGCCCGAGGAGCTGACCCTTCTACTCATCAAACTGCGCCGGCAGCAGGCGGAGCTGAACAGCCTGCGGGAACACACACTGGCACAGCTGGTGCAGCTCGACCTCGACGGCGCCACCCCAAAGGTCCGCCGGGGGGGGGGGACACCACAAAGGAGAGCTCACTGCACCTCTAGGCTTGTCGGGAATCGACGGCAGACTGCCTCGTCCCCGTCACTGCTTCGCGTGCCTTTGTATATTTTGATAACTGCACTATTAACCCCTTAAATCTCATTCAAGCTGTGATCTCAGTCTCGCTGAAGTAGAAGCGGCCTGCAGACGGCCGGTTTTTGGGCCCACGGGGGTCACCCAGGGTACATGCTGTGTCGGACAGCCACCCGGTGACGCCCAGCGAGACACGGCTCGTGTGACCGGAGCCTCCCCCTCAGCTCGCACTCGAATCCAAAATTCACACCTGAAACTGAGCTGAAATGGCCAGGGGGAGCGCCAGGCTTTGGGGGTCAATAGTGGGTGTGCTTGGAGCATCTGCTGTGTCCCTGCTTGCGTCCCTGTGTCCCACGACGCTGCTTTTCTTTGCCAGCTTTGGTTTATGAGCGTATGTTTGCCCGTTTTTATCAGCGAAAACAGATCGTTGTCGTTTCCTCCCCTGCGTGCCAGAAGCATGCCGTTCTGATCGGTTTTTGATGGCCGTCCTCTGTGAGCATCTGTCTGGAATGTCGCGGCTCGCCCATGTCTCTTGCACGCGGTTTGCGCTGAGCGCTGCTGTGGCGTCTGCAGACCCCGCCCCCGTGGAAGCTGTGCCCCCCGTTCCTCCCTCCCCCACCTCGATCCTCTCTGACAGCTGTCTGTTTTCCCCCCTCACCGCTTCCGATGCTAGAACGAGATTCTATCCCATCACCTGCAAAGGAGCCTTGCGTATCTGGACAGCCAGGTGGGAAAATGGACCATTTTTAACCTTCCGTTTCATGCGAGATGTGGGCTATGGCGTGAGCATGCGGCCAGGCCCCCCCCCACCCCCCCACCCCAGGCGGCAATTAACACCCAGTTGTGTTTCTAAAACCATATGGCATCAAAGGTTACTCTACAGTTAATATTAACTGGTCCTCCTGTTTGTTTTGCACGCCCCCGCCCCCCCCCCCCCTGAAATGAGCCCTTCTGGAAACACAATAGAGCAGAATGGTTCATGATTAGCGCTCATTCAGTCCCTGTTTCCCTCGATTGGAGCGTCCACTTGAATGAGCCAGATTGCTCCAGACCTGGCTCTGCCATCGTGATGTCACGGTCATGCCGTGATCTGTAAAGCTGCCTGAGATGTGGCTCTGAGATGTGTGTCACCGGCATTTTCCTTCTTTGATTGTGCGTGCACCACCGAATGTAGCCCTCACAGGTAGCTAAATATGATAAGTGTGATTTCAGATGTAGATTACGTCCCTGGTAAAGTGACATGCGTTTCCCTTTGCCCAGAAAGCCAAATGCTTGTGTAATGCCAAGAAATGTCACAGCAGAATGGAAATAATGAAAAATCATCATGTTGACTATCTGACAGTCGCTCTGAAGCAGTATCAGGGATTCCCTGGTTGTCAGCGTAACCGACAGCTGGTCTCTCCTTACATGAAGATCGTGCTGAAAGGGCTCCATTTCAGTGTCACTGAAAGAGGGCGCAGTGGATGGACAGAGGGAGTAGAGGGGGAGTGAATGACAGCAAAGCGTGGACAGAGAGGGGGAGAGATGGGTAGAGAAAGAGGGATGGACAGGAAGTAAAAGTTTGGGAAAGGTGCATGTGGAGAGAGAGCCAGGGAGGGAGAGATGGAAGGGTGAACTGGGACAGGGAAGGAGAGATGGAAGGGTGAACTGGGACAGGGAAGGAGAGATGGAAGGGTGAACTGGGACAGGGAAGGAGAGATGGAAGGGTGAACTGGGACAGGGAAGGATAGATGGAA